TCTCTCTCTCTCTCTCTCTCTCTCTCTCTCTCTCTCTCTCTCTCTCTCTCTCTCTCTCTCTCTCTCTCTCTCTCTCCATAGAGGACTTGGAAGACGAGGAGAAAGTGTTGAAATGGCTGATAGAGTTCAGGGACACAGTCGACGATCCGGACGAGTTCACCGCCGACTCCGACGAGATAGAGGACGTCTCGGCCGCTATACTAACACAACTCATCGAGTCGTCCGACTCGTTGGCCGTCTTGTTCTGTAAGCTCTTAGCGCATGCATAGCCGCTCCCACCCCTACCCCATGACCCCACACGCGCCCCCAGTTGTGGGGCTCTAACACACCCACGTATATAACCAGGTTATATTGCTTTCAATTAAATACTGTAACTAATGATGGTGTTTTTATAACTCTATCTGTTTACCCTGTTGTTTTCTGTACCCCGGATTGGCTATTAATTTGCTATACGATTCCTGTGGGCGCCGGTAGACGATGACGAGGACAAGGATAGTATGGAAGTACTCCATGAATTAGGTATGAGAGAGTCTGGCTTATTTTTGATTTTGTTTTGTTTGCCCCTGTGTGAATTTTAATATAGTTATTATGTGTTTTATGGTTGCAGAAAATATTGACGATGAGTGCGATCAACACGACATAGCGTTTGTTAAAATAGGTATAGTTTGTTTTTAATAATATATCTTGGTTACATGGTAATTTTCTATTTTAACCTTATTATGTTATTTTATGGAACAACTAAATACTCAATTAAATTATCATTAATACAGACGATGTGGAAGTGTCAAAACGGTTTGGCATCGATTACCACGAGTTACCCACATTGGTTTACTTTGAGAATAAGATTCCAAATTTTTACCAAGGTAGTTATCACACTATTCAACACATCATACATGTCCACATTTATCGGACAAAAACTTAACTATATTTTACCTAAAATAAGGTGATTTGATGGTCGAGGAGGAAGTGCTCAAATGGCTGATCCATCAGAAGAGCGCCGACGAAATCGAGGACGTGTCGGACGTAGTGTTGGACAATATGATCGACTCGTCCAGCTTTTTGGCCGTATTATTCTGTATGAGACAATACATTATGTTATTTTATTTACATAACAATTGTTATACAATATAATAACATAAGATATTTAAAATTAACAATTTTAACACATCTCTCTCTCTCTCTCTCTCTCTCTCTCTCTCTCTCT